TTAAACCCAATAAAAAGTCAGTTATACCTTATATATATAAGCAACTTATAGATTTGGATATCCAGTCAGTGGTTAAAATTAGAAGGGCATGGGAGCTGGAATTAGGCATAACTTTATCAGATCAGCAGTGGAAGAAAGCAATATCTAACGTTCGGTACAGTACGGCTTGTGCAAGGTTACAAGTCATTCAGTTTAAGGTTTTATACAGAGTTCACTCTTCCAGGTCTCGTCTGTCTGAGATTTACCCACAAGTGGTGGATCAGTGCGACAGATGTCATGCCACTACAACCTGAGTCACATGTTCTTTTTGTGTCCAAGACTCCATGGTTCTTGGAACCAGTATATAGCGATTCTCTCCAAAGCTTTAGGAACTCAGGTCTGCACGGACCTTAGCTATCTTTGGGCTCCCAGTTAATACTGTTTTAACTGACCCTGCTCACTCTAAAGTATTGGCCTTTACATCGCTTTTAGCTAGGCGTCGTATTCTACTCCTTTGGAAATCATCTGAGACACATTCAATTTCTCTGTGGTTTCGCAAAGTAATGTCATTTTTTAGATTGGGAAAGATTGGTCTTATAGCAAAGGGAAACTATAGTAAATTTGATCGGATATGGGGCTCTTTTGTGAATTATTGTAAATCATTGAACATCTTACCATCTAACTAATGTGATTGGACAACCCCCCACCCCACCCCGTTTATTTATTTATTTCAGTTTTGTTTTTGTGTGTGTGTTTGTGTGCGTATGTGTGTGTGAGTTATTTCTTTGACCACTACAAATGAGAGATATTGGGTACTGTATGTAAAAAATAAAATAAAAAAAAACATGGAACAGATTCTATACCATTCGTAAATTACTATTATGTTTTTCTTCCACAATAAATAAATAAATCTAAAAAATAAGTGCCTTTAAAGGAAAATGGAAAGTTTAAGCCTTTAAGGCTGATGCTTGAATCAGAGCCAACTGTTAATTGCTTTCAAATTCTTTGGACAAATTGGGATGTTGATGATGAATTGTTCCTTCAGCTTGAAGAATTTGTCTGTCACTTTTATGGACAGAAAAACTGTAACCGGGTTAATTATGCCAGGTTTAAAATGTTCAAACTTCTCTGTAAATAAGATAAATCTCTTCCATCAAATGAGGATTGTCTTTGACAACATTCTAAGCAAGCTGCATATCAGCTATCAATTTATAGAAGGTGTGTTGACCAGTTTATTAACGCCCCTAACCCAGAAGGCCATGTCTGGTCCTTTGAAGATGGAGTGCTCTCATATTGTTGGATGGTATATCCCTGATGTCACGATGGACATATCTTTCAAGTGAGAGAAAAATGCATGTGCTACACAAATCTGTTCATATAAGAGGGGTAATTTGCCATGTAGTGACTTCTATCAATGTGTTCACTGTGCAAACTGTTCTGTTATGATTTAAAATGAGAATGATGTGGAAGGGATATATTCAAATGATAATGAGGACTTGGATGATTCTGATGATAAGTTGTAATGATTTTCATATATGTTGTAAGTTT